CAGAGAAGGATCAGTATAGCTGGAAAGAAACTCTTTCACATATGGGAATACAGGAGCTATCTCAGTGGTGGAAAGAACCTAGTTGGAATCAAATCTAGAATTTATAACACTAAATTATAGTAGCTTCTTAGCCAAGAAATCCAAATTTATGCTAAAGGGGTATTTTTCATGTGCTGTATGAGGTATATCCTTCTTTGTATTTTTTTAAAGTTACAGAATTATAACTTTTGGGCTATGTATAAAACTTGGTAAGAAGAGCATAGTTTTTCAGACTGTTATAGAGAAGTTTCATGGAAAATTTGAAAAGAATATTGATAAAGGCAATTTGATGTAGTTTTGTGATTATGATCTTTTACAAAGAATGAACTCTTATTTGTCTCAATACAATAGGTATTAGCTAATTATTAATTTACTAAAGGACCCATTTGATGGTAGTATGTGAGGCTGACCTCCATAAAGATATTACATTCTGAAAAAATGATAACCAGTTAGGAATCTTTAGCCAATCAATTATTTAAACCTTCCCCTTAAAGACAAAAACCCTGTAGAGTATACTGCAAAGTTATAATAAGGGTATAAGAAACATCAGTAAGCTTTTCCTCAGAACCAGTGGAAAACAGGTTTAAAGGTACATTTTGTAGATTAAGGTAATTACAGAATGACCTCTAGGAATTAAAGATTACCATTATAAATCCCTTAACTATAATGGAATCAAACGAAAATAAAAGATGAAAAGATTTAGTAACCAGTCATCCAACAATGTTATGGTTTGAATATCAAATGTCTGCTACAGACTCCTGTATTAGGGGCTTGGTTGTCAGCTGATGAGCCTTAGGGAAGTGATGGGATCATGAGGGCTCTGACTTTATAAATGAGTTAACCCACTGATGGAGTCACAATTTCATGGCATTCTTGGAAGGTGATTGAAATGTTAGGCGGTAGGGCCTGGTTGGAGGAAGTAGGTCACTGGGCATGTGCCTTTAAAAGACGTATCTTGTTCCTGCCCCTTCTCCATTCTCTACTTCCTGTCCAAAGAGACAGGTAGCTTGTGCCACATGATTCTGCAACAATGATGTTCTACCTCACTTTTCACAGTGATGGAAAACTGATTAACACAAACAATAAAAACAAAATAAACTCATATAATATGCCAATTGATCATTATTTTCAACAGGTAATTTAATTGCTTACACTAAATGTCACTGTGCCTGTTCCCCTCTTCCTTAGTTACTGTGAATTTATATAAATATGGCATATATTTATAAAGAGGAACTATGGCAACTCACAGAGTAAAAGACCAATAAATACATTAATCTAGGAAATGCTACTTTAACAGGCTGGAATTAGAAATAGATGTTACTTATTATTTTTAGGAAATAGTGTTCATTTATTTATCAGTTCATAACAAATAATACCTAGTACATGGCAAGTTATGCTATAGACACTGACAAATGATACTTCAGTTCTATGGCTTGAATATAGTTTGAGTGCATTCCCCAAGTTTCATGTGCTGGAAGCCTTCCTGTGAGTGTAGCAACACTGACAGATAGTGAAATCTATCAGAGGTGGGGCCTACCAGAAAGTGATTAGAGGTACTGATCTTAGAAGGCGTAAATGTAACTTGTGGGACCTTGGTAAATTCCTGCAAAAGTAGGTTGCAATAAAAAGAGCAAGTCTGACTCCTGAATCCTTCTTGTTTCCTGTCTCAAAGTGAGATCTCTCTCTTTTGCATGTGCTTCTATGATGGCATCCACCATGTTTTGATGTAGCCAGAAGGCCCTCACCAGAAGTGAGCAGATGCCGGCACCATGCTCTTGAATCTCAGGAACTGTGAATTAAATGACCTTTTTATCTCCTGTGGAAAGTATCTAGTGTCAGGTATTTTGTACATAGCAGCAAAATGGACTAATACAATCAAAATTCTCTGCTCTCATTAACTTTATATTCTAGGGAGAAAACAGAAAACAATTTCAAATAGTACTGCGTGTTATGAAGAAAAAAAAAACCAGAATATTGGCAAAGAGAATGACCAAGAATATGGAGAGAGAATGGTCATGGAAGGCTTCTCTAAGATGATATTTGAAGTCAGGTGCTGGTGACTCATGCCTGTAATCCTGGCTACTCAGGAGGCAGAGATCAGGAGAACTGCGGTTCAAAGCCAGCCCAGACAAATAGTTCATGAACCCCTATCTCGAAAAAACCCATCACACACACAAAAAGGGGGGGGGCTGGTGGAGTAATTCAAGGTGTGAGCCTTGAGTTAAAAAAAACCCCAGTACCACACACACACACAAAGATGATATTTGAGCAGAGACCTGAATATTGAGACTAAACCAGTCATTTGAAGAGAAGATGAATGAATTTTCTTGGGAAAAGGAAGGCATATTTCAAAAAGCAGAAAGAAAGTATAGTTGGCAGGGGGAAGGTGGTATATCATAAGACTGGAAAGGCAAACAGGGACTTAGTTTATGTAGGGCCTTGTAAATCAAACTAAGAAGTTTAGATTTTATTCTAAGTGCAAGAAGGAGTCTTAGGGAAGATTTAAAGTGAGTGACACAGTCTTATTTGTGCTTTATCATTCTAGTTACTACATGGAGAATGGATTGTAGTGAGGAAAAGTGGAATCAACAGAAATAAATGGAGAGCTGAAGGGAGATAACATGGTGTTGTGGATGAGGTACCAGGGATGAAAAATGAGAGAAAAAGATGGATTCCTAATAGAGTTTAGGGCTGGTGGGAATTAGCCTCTATGTTAAAGAACTCTTTTTTTTATATTACATTCCTTTGTTAGTTCTCTTGTAGGGAGTTTATTTAGTTATTTTTTATGTAGAATCTTAAACACTAAAATCTGGAAGGCATTTAGAAGTTTCTCTTTTAAATCTGAACTTATTGTAAGAATATCAATCCAGTAACTCCAAGAGATGGTCATTAGGATTCTAGTCTACTATCTTGTAGACTATTTTATGCAAAACTGTCTGTGCTGCAGGTCATTGTTAGACAGCTTATTATCAGATCAAGGTGAAATCAGCCCAATATTCTGTTTATTTAGCTATTACGCATTTATTGTGTGTTCTTTATTTCAGGTGCTAGGACAGGTGGGGAATTACATGGTATCAAACATGGTAGGTAGGACTAGGTGTTATCACCTTATTTCATGGAGCTCACTACTGTCTCTCAGGGAGCTGAGCCTAGAAACTGAAAATACTATTCTGTAAATAAAACATTTAAATTTTATCCTCTAAAGTTAGTTATATTTTATGTGTTCTTTCTGCCATAAAATAACCTTTTGAATATTTGAAAACAATTGTCACATTCCAATATCCCAGCCCTTTTCTAATTCATGAAGTATTTATTGAATGCAATCTATAAGACAGGTTCTGTTAGGTGTTGGGGACATAGCATTACAACAAACAGTAACAAAAAAGATAAAAAGTTCCATGGCACCTACATTCTAGTGAGGGAGAGACATAATTAGCAACAACAACAACAAAATAAATGCACATGCAGTATGTCAGGTAGCAAGGAAATATGTTAAGGAAAGATAAGGTGTCTAGGACGGCATTGCAATTATGTATAGGCTAGTTAGGAAAAACCTCTCTGATAAGAGACCATTTAAGTGAAGAACTGAAGTGTAGGAGACATTGTATTAGGACCTGGGTACTAGACATTACATTCAGGGGTGGGAACATGGTGGGGTCTACACAGTAAGTCTACTCATAACAATCGTTTATTTAAATGATCTTTAAATAAAAACTTCAAGATGAACAGAAGTGATGGATAAAGAGTATAGTAGGTGCAAAAAGACAGGAAGTAAGGAGAGAGCAGAAAGAACAAGGAAGGGGTGTGATCAGGCTGCAGAGTCTATAGGGGCTGAACATACTTCAACTAGTCTTTTCAGGATACTTGCTCCCATGTTCTTCTCCAGTGCGAGAGAGCTCATCTTTGAGGGGGTTTCAACTTTTGCTATATTTCTCTTTGGTGTGGATGCCCTAATCAGGGCCATTACTTGCTTTATTCTGGATTCCATGTTTTTATTAGTACAATCTAAGATTACAGTCATAATCCATTGAGTTTGTAACCCATCAGAGTGAGTCAGTTTGTTTTCCACATGAAATGCTTGTGACATTGCCATAGGCACTTAAGGTTTCCTAATCCTGATGGAATCTTATATTCCAGCCACAGTGCTTAGGCTGTCAGGCCTGTCAGGGAGGTGTTAGAAACAAGCTAATTCTAACCCTTCCTACTTTTTCTTTTCCATTTCCACCCCTCCTAGAGAATATGTCCTGCCCTCAATTTATGGGGGGGCTGCCTGAATAAGTTCAGCATATATCCCATCCCTATATGAATAGGTTTTAGTTGCTCTTGCCACAAAAATGGGTAATTATGTCAGATGATGGATATGTTAATTTACTTCACTATGGTAGACTTTTTACTATCTATAAGTGCATCATAATATCAGACCGTATACTGTAAATAAACACAATACTTTTTTTATTTTAAAAAAGCATGCTGGGTATGGTGGTGAATGTCTGTAATCCCAGCAATCTGGAGGCTGATGCAGGAGGATCATGAGTTTGAGGCTAGCCTGGGCTACATAGCAAGACCCTGTCTCAAAAAACCAGTTCAACACACAATCTCTGTAATTGGCTGAAATACACAGTGAATGATTTGCTTCTGCTTTGCAGCCCTTAAATTAGTGCTGACTGGATGTAGTGGGGGTGTACCTAAAGCAACTCGGCAGTGTTCCCGTAGCACTGGAGAGGATAACCCATCTCTTCTCTGGGTGCCTGACAAGGCAAATATTCCTTTTTACACATGATTGGCAAGTCCTTAAACATGTTCAGGTCCTATAAGATTCCACTGTAATATATCACTTCTTGACAACCATAGTTTTATTCCACAAATACTGGCGTAAGAACGAACAACTTTCACAAGGTCCTTGCTTTCATGGAGCTAATAGTGACAAGGGATACTATAATCTCAAATTTAGTTAAACTTACAGTTTCACCTCTGAAGCCTTTTTCACCTCTGGGTCCCTAAAAGGAGGGAAAAAAGACATGAGTTAAGTATTATTAATAATTATCACACTTAATGTAGTTGTGGTTGTGCACAGAAACATGACACTTTATGTTCTTCCTTTTTCAGTCTATTAAGACTTCTTTGTTAATTTATATGCATTCTAATTTTCCTGAGTAATGCAAAGCAAAACAAAAATCATCTATTGATTCAATAAGTTAAGAGTCAATTTCTTTTTTTCTCTACCTTAAAGTGAGATGGAGATAACAAGCTACTTATTCAATCCATAAGTCAGAACAGCTGACGTGACAATCATATAAACACAATTCAGAAAGGAAACTAGGTTAAATTCTAGTATTTATTTCCTTCGTCCTTTGGAAATCCTTTCTAGGGTGATTTCCTCCTGTCTCATCTCCTTTCTATTCCCCTTTTTGAAAAGTGTCCTACCTATTTTGATACGTTGTATGAATTTCCACTTACTTCAAAATATTTTCTAACTTTTCTTGAGACTTACTCTTTGACATGGGTTATTTAGAAGTGTGGTTTAAATTTCAAGTGTTTGGAGATTTTCCTGTTATCTGTTACTGATTTTTAGTTTAATTTCATTATAGCTGGAGAACATACCTTGTATGACTTCAGTTCTTTTAAGCTTAGTAAAATTTGTTGAATGACTCAAAACATCAGCTATTTTGATGAATATCCCCATGTACTTTGAAAGGGATGGGTACTCTGGTGTGGACCTACTGTTTTTAAAACTCTTGTTAATATTTTAGTGTTCATTCTTGTAGAAATTACATTTTTTTGGTTAAAAAAGATAGTATTATTTATATATTTTGTAACCTGAGTTTATACCTTTCTAAAATAATATGGATATTTTTCTATGTCAATCCACATTCCTCTAGGTAATTATAGTGCTTACTATTTACTAAACTATGATAGTATTTTTATTTAATTACCAGTTATGAGATTATTCTAAGTTTTGCATTATCAACAGTACTATGATAAATAATACACTTGTACTCTAAAATTTTGGCTAAAAATTGTTTTTCCAAAAAGTTTGTTTGAAATCTATTGCACACCTATAAAAAATGGGGAGTGTATGTTTCTTCCGTTTCATGCCATGTTCTTTGCAAGCTAAAAAAAATCTTATTGTTTACTTGCCACTTACATTACTTCTTTTGTGTTTCTTATCTTGCCCTTAATCCATTTTAAACTAGGGTATTAATTGATTTTTAAGATCTCTTTACTTTTTGCCCATCCTCCATTTCTTTTTTTTTAAATTAGGATATATTCATTATATTGGGGCAGGGGGATTTGTGGTGACAATTCCAATTAGACTTATATTGTACATTATTTTCATTGCCCCTTCATCCCCCTCCCCAGTCCACTTAAAGAAATTGCAAGAGGTTTCTTAGTTCTATTTCATATATATATATGAAATATATATATGAAATCTATATATGAAATATATATATGAAATCCATCTGCCATATACCGTCACCTTAATCTGCCATCCTCCATTTTTAACCTGGTACAAATGACCTAGAACATACGTTTTCATACTTTTTAAAAAATCAAATATTGACAAATATATTTACATATGTATGGGAGAGATGTGTCATGTTTTATAGCATTGGGATATTATATAATCTTTTATATGCTATGCTTTTACCACTTAATTTATCATGAAATAATTGGAAATCAGCCAAACTAGATAACATTAATTCTTTATAACAAGTGCATAATATTCCACAAAGTAATTAGACCATGATTTACTCAAACATTTCTTTAAAGATAAGTAGTCACATTATTTCAACTTCTTGCCAATATAAATAGTGTTGCAAACAAAACAAAACAAACAAAAACCTTTGTAACACTCTCTTTGTGTATGGGGTGCTTCATATCTTTGGGACAAATTCCTCAAAGTGGAACTGCTTGTTTAAATGTATGTGCACCTATATTTGAATTAATATCTTTCCACAAAGGTTGTAATTCACACTCTACCAGTGATAAACGAGTGTACTATTTTCCACATAGCTGTTTCTGAATAGCTAGATGTAATTTGCTTTAGTTAGATGTAATTAATTTCTCTGACTCAAAGTCAGGTATCTTTTAAAATAATCATTGACTTTTTTGATTTGTCCTTAATTCTTTTATTGAGTTTTCTTTTTTCACACCAATTTAGAACAGCCCTTAGTTTGTTACCTGTTATATGTTGCATGCCTTGCAAATATATTTTCTCATTATCTATTAAGTTTTTTACTGTACTCAGGGACTTTTTCCATGCAAAATTAAAAATAATATTCAAATATGTTTTATGTCTTAATAATTTTCAGGTTTCTAATCTTACATATGGAAGGTCTCCCCAACCTGCACACTGTACTTTCAGTTTCTAGATTTTTCTAAGATTTTTGTTTTACTTTTTACATTAATGTCTTTAAAAGTTTATTTAGGATTAAAAATTGGTGAAATGGGGTTCCAATTTCTTTCAGCAGTAAGGGTTCTTAAAATAATTCCATTTCCCTTCCTACACTTGTGTAGGAGTGAGCATGTAGTCAAACCCTGATCACAAGGATATTCAATGTCTGACTGTGATCCCTGATAAATGATAGTCCTCTTGCTATAAACTTAAATATGAAGCTAACATTCAGGATAGCAGAGTAGAGATGGAACCTGGGCTTGAACAAAGCATGAGTCACTGAATTAACAAAATCTGAAGCCCTTCCTACCACTGGCCTTCCTACAATGTGATATGAATTTCTTCATCACGCAAAGTCAGTGGTTCAGGATTCATATTACTTGCAGCCAAAGCCATCCTAGCTGATGTGTCATTTCATAATTAAATTTCTATACGTTCTTAGATCTAATTCTGGTCTGTAGTCTGTTATATTGATCTGCTTGTTTATTTCTTTTTACTATGATATAATTTCATTTTCAAGGCTTTCATAGTATTATGGTTTTCTTATTTGGAAAAACAACCCCTTGCCCTCCATGACTATTTTTTTCACAATTTTTTTTGCCATTCTCAAATGCTTATTTTTTCATAATGAACTTTTCTTCTTAGAAGGAAAAAAACCAGAATATGGAAAAAATTTGATGCACATGCTGAACGTTATAATGGCCTTTAAGAGCTATAAACAAGACACTGTGAGATATTTTAATTGAGAATTTGTTGATCACATTTTCCTTGACAGATTAATATTTCACATTTTTGGCAGTGGAGAACAATTGTTCCATAATCAGAACAGTATGTACTCCTTGGCTTGGTGAAGAACCACCCAGTGAAATATGAGAATTCTCCCACTTACAATCTGATATAGCTCTGTGTGGAAATGTTGGAAGGCTAGAGAGTGTTGAGTTACACATTTTCTTTCTTTTGGTTAAAACACAGTTTGGTGGTGAATTCTCCAAATTTATCAAAGAGAACAGTTGTACTTTGTACTTGAAGCATTCCATTTTTATCTATTCTATATATAACACTTTAAAAAAATCTAACACTTTTAAATGATTAAAAATATTGATTTCCTGAAGGGATTGAGTCTAAGTCTCAATTTGATCATTTCTAGGGTGCTCCTTCTTTTGTTTACATTGTTAGTGGTATTATAAAACTTTCATAAACACCTCTCCAGTCTTTGTCTTATCTCTGTATTTTGTTTATGAAAAGCACTAACAATATGCTGTCTCAATTTTCTCCAGACATGGTTTGAATGTGGTGGAAAGAGCACTGGTCTTGAAGTAAGAAACACAGCTGTGTGATTCATTAGTTCTATCACCTTGCATGACTAGGTGAACCTCTATAGGCTTCATCCATTAAATGGAAATAATATCTACCTTAAAACTTTGCCATAAGGATTTGAGAAAAGTTTTGTGGGGGAAGCAAAACAAAACAAAATGAAACAAAAACCAGAACAGAAAAAAAAGAATTTAGGAAAAATTGTTATTAAACATGTTCATCTACTTCTTTCTTCACTGTAATCTGTATTCCATCTTTTTCTGTAACTTGCTTTCTCAAAGATCACTGTTGTTCACTCCTTTCTGTAGACCCATCTGTCTAACCTCACACTGTCCTGATTCCTGCCAGTCTCACCAACTATTTCTTTCCTTTACAGTGGGTACTTTCAAAGACTCAAATTGTGGCGGTCTATACTTCTTTTGATATCTATGTTCTCTCCTTCAGAAAACAGATTCATTTTTATTGCTTTAGTGATCATCACTATGCTTAAGACTCTTCCTGCTCCCTGACTCAGTTCTGTTTTCTCATTAAGTGCCCTCTTTCTGCTCACAACGTCTTCATTACGTGTAAGTTCCCAAGAGTAACCTTCCTGAAGAAAATATCTAACCTATTTTTTCCCTTTGTTTCCTAAATACTCAGGCTGATTCTTCGTGGATTATTCTAGAATTAGAAATACAGAAAAAAAAAAGAGTATAAAGAAGAAAACAAAAGACCTGTATTGTGACAAACTTACAATTCTACCTGATGGGCCGATTATGCCTTCTCTGCCAAGAGGGCCAGTGTTTCCCTATTGGGGATGAAGAAAAATAATCGGTTTCATTCTCAGTACAATTGAGAAAAATCCCACATAACCTTTTATGCTATGGTAAAATAGCCATGTCCTAATAATTACAGTTTTATTTAAAAGTCTTATAATATTAGCATGCATCACAGTAATTTTGATTAAGACACAATTGTGCATATTACTATAATTTCCTATTAGAAGATTTATATATATATTTTTCTAACAAATATAAATCAGAATTATAAAGCTTATTGTGGTCATAACTTCAATGATGCATTTATATGTGTGTTACTACATGAAAAATGAAATACTTTATACAAAAATAATAGACTGGGCTGGAGACCTGCCTAGCAAGTATGAAGCACTGAGTTCAAACCCCTGTACCTCCAACCCCCTACCCCCAATAATAGACTAATGAACACATTTTCAATAAATTTCTGCACAGATATTGAATAAACAGATGTTTGAATTACATACAGCATGGAATAGAGCATATAGGAGAGAACTAGAGGGCATCATATGTGACCAACCAAACTTTAGTTTCTTTATCTGTTAATTAGGGCCATTGTGAGAATTGAAAATGAAAAGTGCTTTTTAAGTTGCAAACTGTTATTCAATTATAATCACCTTGCATAAACTGGATATTAGGTAAATTCTTTCCACACTAGTATAGAGCCTACCATTTCTCAATGAATACAAAATATTTATTTTAGTTTTTTTTCCAACAAATTCCACACCAAACTGTACTGGCTGAAAGTTGTTTTTTCTAGCTCACACTCAATCTGGAATACATATCTGTAGATAACCTAATAGACTTTCTCTTTTTCCAACTCTTGTGGAGGTACAGAAAATACTATCAATTGAAATAATTATAGCATCAAGTGGTCCACTGATTCATAACTTTAATGTTAAGTAGGCCTTAAATCAGAGAAGTTACTGATAGTCTAAATCTAATGGAATCAATTTTTTCTGATACTAGGGATTGAACCCAGGACCCCTTGCTCACTAGGCAAGTACTTTACCTCTTGAGCTATGCCCTCAGCCTGAAAAGAATAACTTTAAAACAAAAAGGTCAACTTATAATTTATAAACTTATAAATATGGTACCCAAATGTCAAAGATCCACAATCAAATCAAGAAACTTGATTTTTAACCTAATCAAATGTATCCTCTAGAATGGCTATCACTTTAAAAAAAAGTCAAGGAAGCTTTAATCTAATAAACTGAACTGTGACTTGACTCTGAAATAATTTGTTAAAAGAATAGACAGGACTCCACAAAAAGTAGACCAAAAGAGTAAACAACTGTCTATGTTTATCTACATGTGCTCAAAAGATACAGTGCTATGTTTTTTAAATGCTGGGTACCATTAACTACATAGGTTCATCTTTGAAGTGGGGTACAATTAATCTAGATTTCTTAGTTCAATTAATTTTATTTACTTATCAAATATTTATTGATTTTTGAGCAGGAACTAAGTATTAGGTCACTTAGTATACATTGTATATTCCAATTCTGCAATTAGCAAGCAACCCTATAACATACGATTTGGTTAATCAGATGGGGACTCTAATTCTGTCTCCTCTATTATATTAGCCAACTATGGCCTTGAACAAATTATCTTTCTGAGGCTTAGTTTCCTCATCTGGAAAGTGGGAATAATAGCATCTCCCATAGGATTTTTGAGAGAATTAAATGAGATAAGGGACACAAACTGAACACAAGTACCTGATACATAACAGTGTTTTTCTAAATATTGACATATCAAGACTTTTTATTGGTGTCCTATAATGATTAAATAAACAATTATTTGTTTTTATAAATAAGTAGTAGTGAGCTAGTTACCAGAACTTTACTATTAATGAGCTGATAAATTTCTAGACATACAAAGCAATGTAGGTTTGGATAGATCCTGGCTCAGAGGCTGAATACTTTATGAAACCTTGCTTAGGAGAGGTGCTAGGCAGGCACTAACCTCTCTTTGACAAATCAAGAAAAGACTTACTTGAGAATTTAATAAGACTAAAAGGAATGAACTTAAACAGTAGAAGAACTTAATGTAAATAAGAACTTAAAAACAATATTTATTTTAGAATAACCTATTCATATTTAACCCCTTGGGGATAATTAGGAACTGGACTTGAAGGTATGGCTCAAATGGTAGAGAGCCTGCTTTACATGTGCAAAGCCCTGAGTTCAAACTTCAGTACTACCAAAAAAGCTGGACTTGATATAAAAGCACTTTCCTTGGTACCTCAGGAATTATGAAAATAACCAATAAATTTATACCTGAATGTTGAGAGGGGTCTTTAAACAAACATTTCCCATGTTCTTTGTATTACTGAAAATAATTTACTATAACAGGGAGTGGGTATAGAATTTTAATATTTTGTGCAAGACAGTGATTGTCAGTTGTAAAGTTCTCCTTTCCCTTGCATCTGAACTATTTTCCATCTTCCTCTGTTCTGACCACACTTGCCTTAGCAGAGCCAGAGTTGCTACTACCATAGGCAAACCATTGTTTGAAATTTTAAAACTTTTAAAATTTCAGTTTTATAGACCATCTCATCAGTCAGGAGACTGTTATTAATGAGAACCAAACGAAAAGCCAACAATAACCAGTAACTGTTGCTGGCTTATTTATATTCCTTATACTTTGCAATTACAGTCACTAAATGGCTAATTGGAGTACTTCAGACTCTGGTGTTTGAAACTCTTTAAGCAATTCTCATCACTCTCTTGGGATACCTGCTTCTTTGCTAGGAAAACACAGTTATCGGGAAATATTTTTCAAAGTGTGGTCTGAAGAGTTCTGGTAAAGTTCTCCAGGTGGTGCATGGGGTGGTCTCTGGTCCCTGGTTGTATTAATGCTTATAACACAAAACTGCTTTATGCTTTTGCTCCTGGTGTGAGTTCATACATTGTCTAGTCTTCACAGTAATTCTGATGATATGTTTTAAAACAAGTATGAGGACGTATGGGTGGTCTATGCAGTATTTTGCTGAAGCCAATTTATGGACTGCAAAATGTTGAACCCTGCATATGCTCTTATGGTATCTTAAAAGTAATTTTATTAGGTTATTAATTTGGAGCATACTAATTTTAGGTTTCTAAGTCCTAAGCAATAAGCAAAGAAACACAATTTTCACATAGGCAGGATGACTTCACACTTACTCTCTGTCCCATAGGACCTTTCGGACCTGATAGTCCAGCAATGCCAGCATCTCCCTCAGGACCCTAGATACACAATAAAAAGCCAAAAAGTTAAAGTATTTAGTCTATATTAGTACAAATGAAATAACCTTGTGTCAATTTGCCAATAGCTGACTCTCTAAATCATGCAATGAAATTGCTAGGAAAATGTGTAATTACATGAATTTAGAAATAAGCATTTTCAAAACTCAAATATATGACTGTACCAGTTGATATTTTACAGGTTAAAAAAGAAAAGGTCAAATCAGAGGCTGAATACTGACATGTTAATCTCTCTCTAGATGGCTGGAGGATTAGTAGAAAATAAGCGAACATACTCTGGGGCCTGGGGATCCTTGGAAGCCTGTGAACCCTTGGTCACCATGTTCTCCCTGCAGGGCGGACAGAGGGGATAATTGTTACCATGCTCTGGTGGCCTGGCCTGAAGAGTAAGTGCTTGGTGAATTTCTGAATCGGCACATACAGACTGCCCTTTCAGACCAGGCTCTCCACGTGGTCCTTGGTCACCTTGTGCTCCTCCATGACCTCTTTTACCTTGAACTCCAGGTTGACCAGGTGGCCCTTGTTCACCCTTGGAAAAAACAAAGGAAGGTGATCTTGACCTCAGAACCTATAAACATATTGGCTTTTAAATGAACCCTAAAAACGTCCTTCAGCATAGTACAAGGCACTGGGAAAATCAAATTCCACATGAGCATCCTCTCCGCTAATATTTACCATAAAGTAATATTTGATTGTAATGATTAAGAAATGTAATAATAGGCAAAGAAAATTCCAGAGATTGTGGTGGTAATTGTGGAAAGAATGGCGGGGGAACTTATAAAACTAGGTGGAGGATGTAAGAGGGCTTCAGAAAGGAGGGTGAAGCTCTGGTGTGTGTATGTGGGTATATCAATATGAGATGGAACTTGCATTTTATTTGAATTGGCATCATTATGCTGTGTTTTCCACACTGCCCAGAGATGACTCAAGATATGTGATACCAGAAGCAGAACTGTCTCCTGAAATGTGGACCCTTGCATTTGCCATGATTATCTCGAATACATCATTCAGAAATTTACATTATCTGCTTTCCTAGTTTCCTTTATTTCCTCACAGTTCACTCTAATGGTAGAGTTAATTACCATATTCTATTTTAAAATTCAAGCCTTTTTCATCTATTTTTAAAATCCATTTTTAAAATTAGAGTTGGAATATCTAAATGCCATTTCTGAAAAGAAATTTAGGAATCAGGCAGATAGAGATAGGTTTATGAAAAATGATTCTTTGCAGACTGGCCAAGAGCTCTTGAAGATCAGCAAATTGTTCTTCACTTTTTTGAGGCAAACCTGTAACTTTGAGGCTTGACAAAATATAGATTCTTTTAATTTTAGACTCTTTCTTACTTCTTTTCTTAGCTTTAGCATTTGCTTAGCTGCCTTGGGTTTTAGTAGAAAGAGATATTCATGATATAAACTTTAACCAAAGGCTAAAACTGTAAATAGTAAGCAAATGGGTTATCAGTGGACCTATATGGATCAGAACTCTAAAATTCTTTAGAAGTGGAATTTGAAAATCAAGCTTAGAAGTAATAATAAAGGCGCCAATGTCTTAATCCTGAGCTGTCACAAGAAAGGTTTAGACAACAGACTGATCTCCAAGTTGTCTGGATCAATCCTACATTTCTAGGAGAGGTTTTATCTGGAAAATCTACTGACCTGTTATAATATTTCATGCAATGAATGCTAATGCAAGATCTAATTATTGTCACTTTGACTCTAAAAAATAATCTGCACTGTTATCAGACTTATCAATTAGTTGGTTAGGTTCAGACTTAGAGGAAAAGGAAATGTATTTGAGAGAGTATGTATCTGAAGTTCTCCATTTTTTAGGAGAAGGCAGATGACAAAGAAGGAACAATGAATCAAAATTAGCTTCTTTTTTTGTCAGTACTGGGATTTGAACTCAGGGCCTAGTGTTTGCTATGCAGGCATTATATCACTTCAGCTATACCTGTAGCCCCCAAACCAGCATTTTTGAAAGTATTTCTAGTTCTTGGTTAATGAGTTGTATGGCAAATCACATGCACTATAGAAAATGGATGTATAATGGTTATATACTTTCCCTTTTCCTTAATGTGCTTGTATTATTAGTCAAATTTTATTAAAAAGCTGTTAATCTTACCATCCTGTGAAGTAGCCAGTGAACTTGGACCCATCCAGGTCCAAGGTATTACTCAATCATCCAGGTCCAGGTATTACTCAATCATCAGAACAAAACATTCAGGTACCTTTGGGCCTGGAACTCCAGAGCTTCCTGGCAGACCTGATGAGCCCTTTCCTCCTCGAGCACCTGGAGATCCAGTCAGTCCTGTTCTTCCTGGGCTGCCTTTGATGCCCTTTAACATAAATAACAAGTAAAAACCAGGACATTTCTAGAAAATCAATCTAGAGGCTCAATAAATGCAGGAATGGCTGTGTTTCAAAAGGCTGATGTTGATTTACTGGCTTAGAAGTTATCCAGAACTTCTTTCTCAAGTAAGCCAAACAATTAAAGAATGTTTTGGGAACACTCACTACTAACATGAAATCTCTAATTACAGTTAATACAAGGATCTGGGTTTTTTAAATGAAAATAGTGAGGCAGTATAAAGTCTACCAGTATCTCTGACTTACACAGTAGATGTGAAGTACTGTTATATCCTAACTTAAAAATTACAGTCTGGTGTACATGGCATATCTAATAACTGATTAATGTCTTATTAGGAAAAAAATTCTACTCTTTAACCACACGAGAGTCCATAAAATTCACTAATAGGTTGGGAATAATGTTAAACAAACCAACCATATATCTTTGAAACAAAATCCTAAATCAGGGATGGCAAGCCAAATCCTATCATTTGTCTGTTTTTGTATAGTTTATGACCTAAGAATAGTTTTTACATTTTTTAAATGATGGAAAAATGCACAGAGTAATAATACTTAAAGATGTGACAAATATATGAACTTAAAATTTCAGTAAATATACACAGCTTTATTGGAACACAGTCACACTCACTCATTCATGTTTGGCTCTGGCTGATTTTGCACTACAATAGCAGAGCTGAGTAATTGTGACCAAGACCTTAGGTTGCACTCTCATGGCTTTCTGTTGCTTCACAGCACAGCAGTTGGCGTGCAGCAGTAATAACTTAAGTGTTTTCAGTGGAACATATCTTGACCTTTTATTGCCAGTACATAATTATCATGTAAACAAGTACACTTTAAATATTGTGTTTTAGAGGGTGGGGGAGGGGAGCAGGGGGGAGAAATAACCCAAACAATGTATGCACATCTGAATAAATAAATAATAATAAAAATAAATAAATATTGTGTTTTAAAGGCACAACATAGAATGTGGGTTATTTTGTCATCAAATTAGGAGGGAGAAGCCTTGACTTCATTGTGCAGTGAGACTACAGCTGTGGTCAATATGCACACATGTACACAGGCATGTCACACCAGCCTTATCAGACTGGGCACTCAGCATAAGAGCCCCTCACGTGGATGCAACAGTTAGAAACTAGAAAATTTAAGCAGGAGCATCTTACCATAGAACTTCTTCACACACACACACACACAAAAATAAAAATGAGGTCGCAATGAAAGTAAGTGTCTCCATTTTTATTTGTTAGCCTAGCATGGAAAGTCCCTTAACCATGGAGAAGTAATTAAATCATGTAGCAAAATGAACTTGTTTTATATTATTAGTGTTTCGGTAAGAATAGTTGTTTGAAATGCTGAGGGCCCTAGTAGAATCAATATTCAATTAGGAAAAAAGACAAATGCTTTTGAGAGGTTTTCTTTGGCTCTTGATGAGTCAATAGCAGTTTGCAATACTGCTCAGTTGTTCATTTGAGGAGCCACTGTTGCGTTTGAAGTGACGGAAGAATTGACATGTATGAATAATCTGTGGGGTAACTATAGCTAGAACATTTTCAAAGAATTTAAGAAACCACTAAATTAGTGCTACCTGAAGTGGAATCTTCGAACAGGCAATGAAACTGGTAGTTGTGGATTGGCAAGAGTTATTGGACAAATTTGCAAAGCTTGTGAAAAGTAAGGTGTTTAAAGCTATGTACAGTGGCAGTATTTGTAGTATTCAGGTATTTTGTATTACTGAACATGTGTGTCAACACTGAACTCCATAGGTCCTTAGGAATTTAATCTTCTTTAGTTCTATGATTTTTTTTTCAGAAACAGAAATAATATAATATACATACCCAGATGTGTCCTATTATACAGTAGTTTGATGGTGTAGCAGAGGTAAAGTTTTACTGAGGTGTTTTTGAGACTGAGATCAAAATTTTTTTGAATGAGAAAAACTGTCCTCAATACAAGTGAACAGTGGGTGGCATTGAAAATTGGGTTTTCAATGTGAGTCAATGCCCTGTATAGCTATCCTTATCTCAACCAGCAAAAACCTTTGTTCCTTCCTATTATTGCTTATACTCTCTCTACAACAAAATTAGAAATAAGGGCAAAATAGTTTCTGCTGGGTATTGGCGGGGGGAGAGGGAGGGAGCGGAGTGGGTGGTAAGGGAGGGAGTGGGGGCAGGGGGGAGAAATGAACCAAGCCTTGTATGCACATATGAATAATAAAAGAAAAAGGAAAAAAAATAAAAAAAATAAAAACCAACAAAGCATAAAAAAAAAAGAAAATTGGGTTTTACTGTAGACTTTATAATGTCTATTAATGAATTAAATCTAAAATTACAAAGCAAAATAGTGCTTCTGGGTGGAACTTACATTGTGGTAAAGATGTTTTAACAATGAATCACAAGTGATATTAAGCAGCTTTATATACTTCCTATGCTGTCAAAAATTAAAACAAGAAGATCTTCATTCCCACACAGATTTATAGTGGATAGATTTTCTGAGCTCAGTTTCGGCAGTATATTTTAGACTTAGATCCAAGAGATTTCTGCATTTCAAAATCCATTTGTCCAGTTGAGAAGTTTCCACAAAACCTTGGATTGGAAATGAGTAAGCTACACTGTATCTATCAAGGGAAGAATCTAATAGAATTTTATAAATTCCTTCCAAGCAACGAATATGCTCAATTAAAATCATATGCTTATGAACTGCAGTTTTGGCAGTGTCTAGCTATGTGAAAAGGATATTCAAGGATGGAATATGTAAACTATGCAGAATTTATAACAGGTCAGCATTAAAAGATGAACAGAAAAATTTGATAATAGGGAACTGCAATAAGTTAAATGTTATCCCCTCCAAAGAAAGCCATTTTTCTTATTAGACTTTATTATAAAATTGTATCCAATTATTACATTTTTATTTCATAAATAAAAATGTTGTACAACTTTATTTTCTTTTTTGTCATTTAAGTTCCTAAGCAATACTCTTGATTTTGCTTCTTACTTCACATAGCTTAAAACTTTACTCATTTTGGAAGAGTTTGTTAACCTTCCCTCTAGATGGTTGTTATTTTCTTGATTCTTGGGATATCAAGTTGGATTATGCAATGGTTTTTCCATGCATTCAACAAAGATTTATTGAGTGTCATCTGTTATAAGGAAGAGATCACTGGAAGCCCTCTAGGGAATACATATATAAATAAGATATGGTTCTTATTTTCAGGAATTTAAAAACTAAGTGACATAGATGACCGTAATACTGTAATATGTAAATAATTATAATGAAAGCAAAAATGCAAAAAAAAAAAAAAAAGCCAGATGAGAAGAGAGATATAAAGCAACACTTGACAGATTCTGAGACAAAGAAGTTACTTTTAGTGGTAATCAGAAAAGGAATTGAGAAGGCAGTTATGGAACTGGATCATGCCCTTAAACTTATATATGTCGCTGGAAGGGTGCTCTGGCTCAAGGTAGGCAATAGTCATTTCTGTGGGAGGTCTAGTTGAGAAAATGTATTTAAAAAGTAATGCCAATTTTTAACTCAATACTAAGGTATGTTTTCTCTTTCTTCAAATAATATTTCCTCTAAATTAGTTATTGCATATCTTATTTTTCTCTGACTTATGATAAAAATTCTATATATTCTTTTGAAGTAGATTTTTTTTTCATGACCACAAAACTCTTTAATGTAATGAGTAAACATCTGTTTTATAGCCACTGGGTGCTAGTTGTCATGCAGTTGCTTACAGAGATGTACCTATAGGATATAGATCCATATTCCTTAACCTGACTTTTATGTCCTGATCTACATTGACCATTTTGTCTCCCCCCTAATTCTCTATATTAGTGGAGATCAATATTTTAAAGGAATCATTATGAAGGCAAAATCCATATAGAGGGGCAAAGGGAGAATTGGAGGGAGGTAGAGAGTGAAGGAGATATGGCAAGAGAGAAAGGGGAAGGGGAAAGAGAGACATGGGGAAGAGGAAGAAAAAAGAGGAGAAGCAGGGAGATGGAGGGAGACAGAGATTCACACTGTTGATTTAGGATTCAGATGGTATAGTTCTTCATATGGCTAGTGCCTTATCCTTGGTATATTAATGTATCCTGTTTCTTTTTCTTTGCTTCTCACTATATGACTTAATTTGTTCTGTGAGCTTTGCTGTTCTATATCTCTAGGATAGATTATGTGATGGTGAACTTTCCACAAGAACCATGAGAATGGTACCACTTTAAAGCTCATCAATGCAAATGAAAGCAAATCCTGTCACAGTCACTTAAGACTTTGGGATATAAAATTTCAAAAATGGTGAAAGAATACTCAGGTGTCATACCAATGACCAGGTCTCTTATGGAAACATAACTTTACAGGAAAGGCATGTTTTAAAAACAAAATTCTTGGGCTGGACATGGCTAAAGCAGTAGAGCATCAGTACCATACAAAAAAGTTCTGAGCTAGGTGTGGTCACTTACACCTGTAATTCCAGCACTTCGGAGGCTACTGCAGGAACATAATAAGTTTGAGGTCAGCCTGGGCTATACAGCAAGTTCTAGGCCAACCTGGGATACGTAGTGAGACTGTCTCAAAAAATAAAAAAACAAACCAATCAACCAAACAAATACATAAGTATCAAAATTCTAATGAATAGCACCCTTCCCAAATTTAAAAAAAAAACAGCCAAAAGACCAAAAGAAACCAGTTAATTACAGAGAAAGCATATTTTAAAAGGTCATATATAAAAGATGGAAGGAGGACCAGGTATGGTAGTACATGCGTGTAATCCCAGCTACTGAAGAGCCCAGAAGTAGGATGATCATGGTCTGAGGTTGGCCCAAGCAAAAGTTTGAGACCCTATCTGAAAAAAGAAAACTAAAGCAAAAAGGACTGAAGACATGGCTCAAGTGGTAGGTGCTTGCATAACCAGGAGCTCATTTCCCAGAAATGCAAAATAAATCAACAAATCAGTAAAATTAAAAAAAAATTT